TCCATGCTACCAACAGGTGAAACAGGCCCAGAGTTCATACTCTATTAAAATTGACTTTTACACACCTAGAAGTAAAAAACAAATTTTAAAACTTTACGATTTCCATAGAAATAATTAACAGAGAGAAGTAATTATTTTGTTCTTCCAAGCATTTCCGTACAATACTGGCAACATCCCAACATAAGCTGCCTGATCTGGATCTAGAGACAACTAACTATGGAGTTGCCTATTTTCACTAACTCCTGACTATGCTGCTGAGCAATCAACACCAAGGTTATGGATTTTACGAAGTTATTTAAGTTGTAAAGGGTGTTATTGTTATCACACTAAGAGAAGGCTAATATCTAAATATTATTATTCAGTTTAGCATCTGAGAGTAAATAAAAAGCAAGGCTGTCAGAATACCAAAACATCCTTTTTAAGCAAGTGGCTCAAACACCAATTCAGAAGCAGTGATGATCACAGCACCATGCAATCCATGACATTTAACAGGTATTTTAAACGTGAGAAGTTAACTTCCCTTAAAGATAACAGTGCACAAGGAGCTGAAGAGCAGCCTATAATGCATCATAGCTTGGTATTTTAAAATAATCAGTCAAATTAAATTATGATGCTTTGATGGGTGGAGAACATTTTTGAGAATTGCAACCTTAAAGCAAAGAGTTACAGTGTGATCATGAATTCCTGCAAAAACATTACTAATCCTTACCTAATGCAATATGTCTACAGAAGATTTGTGTCAATTGTGTATTTTGAAATTAATTTTAATTTCAGTAATATCTTTTACCCCTCCACAAACCAAAACGCGTGAGGAGAAAGAAACAAGCCAGGAAAGCAAGGTAGTGGACTATTTTAGAAGCCAGCAAGAAGCAGGAAATAAAAAAAGCCCATGATCGCCTCATCTTCATAGGGAAAAAATGGCAGCATTTTAGCTAAGCTTTCTGCCTACCTACTTGTATTTTTGTTTACTAGAAAATAAAGCAGCATCACATCAGAAAATTTTAATTTCTCTACTTCACCTTGGTCTCTACTAACCCTACTAAAAAAATCTCAAATGCGTGTTTGGAAAGAATTTATAAAATAAAGTAAACTTCTAAAGTAAGAGTAAGCTAAGACAGAGGAAAGATACTAAAATTAAAAATGACAGCTTTCCATTACAAGGAAAAAACTCTGCAAAAATCTGAACGATCTACTTTAAAAGTAAGTGGGGAAACCTGAAAGGAAATCCACCATATTAACCCGATAATCACCTTAGTTTCAACATTTAAAACTAAGCACATGAAGATTATCCTATAAACAGACAACAAGGATAGAGATAAGAACTGCAGACTCAAGGCCAATTAAAAAAAACCCTACATTCTATGCAAAGGCTTATCATAAACTAGGCTAAAATATACACTAAGCTCTGAATCAGAATTACTAGAACAGAGGTATCAAATATTAAAAGTTTAAACAAAGGCGATTTACACACTTAGGCAGTAAAACCTTACACCTAACATACAAACGAAGGCCTTCTCAAGAGAAAGAATGGAGTCTGAAAAATAATTCCAAGCAGCAAAGTGTAGCTCAGGATGTGTACATGACCAGGCAAGCACACATCAGAAATCATGATTCCCCTTTACATAAATATGGAAATATTCAGCACAGAAAAGCAATTCCCGCAAAACCTGGGGCTATTTGGGTTTTCAGGCTGAAAACAAATCGCAAAGTCGAGTGTCAGCTCCCCACAGGTTGTGACAAATTATGGCCTGTTACCTTTAAAGTTCTTGATCACTAATTTCTTGGCAGAGCCAGGTTTACTGTTGGCGAAACTGGAAACAGTAGAGGAGGCAGCTTTGGTCAGGCCATTTGCATGGTGCCCCACAGCCACTGATGAAATTAAAAGGCTTTTATTTTTAAGCTGTTGCTGGTGCTGCTGCTGAGAAGAGGCAGCAGGAGAGGAGGAGGAGGAAGAAGACTCTTCAGCCATCTTCACATCGAGTCCAATAAAATCCACGGAGTCCTCAAAACGCAGCTTCTTCTGGAGGTGATGGTTGGAGGAAGCAACCCCTGAGGAGGAGCACGAGGAAGTGGTGATGACAGAGGACGATGATGAGGAGGTGTTTTTGGAAGGAGAAGAGGTGCAGGAGGAAATGGAATCAAATTCTTCTTTCTCGGAATTACTGTTGCTGCTGTTATTTAGCTTTCTCTTCTTGCAGGAGGAGCTGCTGCTAGTGTTACCATCAGTGGCAGGTCTGACCTCCTGGGCTGCAGCTGGGGGGTTGGGGGAAGAGAAACCTGTGGGAAACATGAACACACAGAAGTGAACAGGCTGAGGGGCATCAAATCCTTGTGGTGTGACAAAGAGAGGGGGAGAGTTTTAGAGTCAGTCTCTGTTTGCTGTCTCGGGGGTGGGGGGGTCTTTCAACTCCTCCTTCTCATCAGTGAAGTCCTTCCGTATTCCTTCTCCTTCGCGTTCTTCTTTATCGGAGGAATCACTTTATCTCCTCTTCCCCTTTTCTTTATTACTTTGGTTCTTCCCGTAGTTTGTCGCTGCCTTTCTGCTTTTACTCCTTTCCCAGCGCAGCGTTTCCGTTCCTGCCGCCCACCAGTTCCTTTCGATTCTCCTCTGCAGCAGCAGAATTCCTCACGGCTGCCCGCTGCCCCGGCTTCTCCTTGCGCTCCCCTCCTGCTCCGGCCGCCTCGTCTCCGCCGAGCAGCAGCGGGGAGGGCTGAGCGCGGCTCCCTCCGGCCTCGGCTCCAGCCCCTGGCCCCACACGCTCCCGCTCCGCCCGCGGCCGCTCCGCTCGGCCCCGCTCCCCCCTCTCCGCTGTGCCCGCGCTCGCTGAGGGGGGACGGCCGGGCCGGGTTGTTATTGTCACTGCACGGCAGAGGGAGCGCAAAAATGGCGGCGCATCCGCCCGCCGTGCATGACGGGGCGCGGCGCACGGAAGCGCGGCCGGGAAGCGCTGGGACCGCCCCGAGATCCTCCCCGAGATCCTCCCCGGGATCCTCCCCGGGACCCTCCCCGGAACCCGCCTCCGGCCCCGCCGGTACCCTCGGCCCCGCCGGGACTGGTCGTGGCTCGGTGCCCCCCCCTGGGGCGGGAGTGCGGGACCGCGGAGTTCCGCCCCGGGGCCCCGCCCGGCCTCAGGCGGCCTCAGGCGGCCTCACCCGGCCCGTCCCGCCGCAGGCTCCGGCCGCGATCTGCTCGTTCGCGGAGCTCGTTCCGCCGGAGCCTGCGGCCTAGGCCCGGGCCTGTTAGCTAAGCCTGTTAGCTTGGTCTGGAAATTATTTTTGTTACACTTATTTATAAATAATTTAGCGTCAGCTGTTTGATACGATTTTAATACATACGACTTCCACTGGCCTACAGTCTATGGTTTGCTTTTGTTTTGTTTAGTTTGTAACTTTTAGAAACAAGAACATAAGTCGTGGGCCTTTGGAGTCTCCTTTTTGATGTTGGTGGATCTGTTGCCAAAAGGACCGTAAACTCCTGAGGAACGTCGTTAGGGTTCAAACACTGCTGAGAAATGGCTGTGGAAAAAGTAACATACCAAGTGATGAGGTTTTGTTCCAGAAGATTCTCCACAGCCTTCACCGAGAGCATACCTTGTACACCAGGCAGCTCAGGGGAAATCTAGTGGCACTTTTATGTTGGATAGGAAAACGGACTTACTTCTCTTGACAGAAACTGGTACATGGAATGTAATGTCACTAAGGCTCTTCTGGAGTATGTTGGATGTCCGAGTCACTGTCAGACAACTCCTGAGGCCTGGAATGTCATGCTAGTGATGTGTAGAAAAGCACTTTTTCCAGTTGAAAAAACCCCAGCAAAACAAACCTTCAGTCTGGCTTTGACTGGCTTTAGAAGAGGTTGTATGGTTCCCAAGGCTACTAAATGGCATTCCAAGTCAGATATAATAGAAATAAACAGGTTTGCCAAGTAAATAAAAGTTAGGTGAGTATGCTGTAAAATTTTCCTCTGTTCCCCAGTAACTGTCATGTTCACTTAAGCCAAATTAGATAAGAGGTCTAGAGATGTAAGAGATGCCAAATTTCTACACATTCTTGGTTCATTTGAAAGGATTTTAAGTATTAGGTTTTAATTACCTGTTATAGTATCAAAGGTGATGAAATTGTTTTGTATGGAAAAAAGAAACTCGGTTATTAGCATAATGGTAACCTGATGTTTTATATCCTCTCCTCCCTCCCCTTTATGCTAGTGTTGGCATTTCCATGACTCTAAAAAGAAACTGGGTGATCACCTGTATCTGTTTATATAGCAGCCACCAGCCTAAAGAACAAACACAGGTCTGCTCCTCAGAGAGTGAAAAAGCAGTGTGGTAAAATCTGTCTGCTACGGTTTTCTATTCACAATTGCTGTGGCCATCACCAAACAAAACCTAATTTGATTCTGATAAACACTCCACCAGAATCCATCTGTCTGCCTGGCAGCTGAGATCTTCTCTGCAAGCCAGGTTTCTGCTCCCTCCCCACCAAGATGTGGTACTGTCACCTGGGACTGATTCCCTAGCCGGGAACAGTATCTGCTGTTTGACAAGAACTCTATTTTTTTCCCCCAGAATGCTGTTGATAGTATCTTGTGTCCTGCTCTGAAGCTGGCGTGACGATAGCTTCTGCTCTGCTAGTTTGAAGATGGCTGTGTTTTTTCCAGTTAAACGTATTTTGTGTTTAAATGTCAGCAGCTATTAGCACTTTGCTCTTTTTATTTTACCAGAAAGCGATACATTCCTGGGAAACCAGCGCCGTGCCGGGCTGCTGTGAAGGGCTAATAACGCCGCAGTTGTGCGCGGGGCAGCGGGCGGGCAGGGAGCGATGCCGGAGCCGCGGGCACGGCCCGGCCCGGCGCGGGCACGGCACGGCCCGGCCCGGCGCACGCCGCGCTGCCGGCTGGCCCCGCCCGTTCCGCGGGGATGGAGCGGCGCTTCCGGCGGGCGCGGAGAGAGGCACGGCCCGGCCGGAGCCGCGTGTGAGCAGCGCCCAGGCTGTGGGTGCCCGCCGGCCCCGGCCTGCCCGCCCGCCCGGCGCCCCCCGCCCGCAGGATGTTCAAAAAGTGAGTGCGGCTGGGGCCGCGGGGGAAGGGAAGGGAAGGGAAGGGAAGGGAAGGGAAGGGAAGGGAAGGGAAGGGAAGGGAAGGGAAGGGAAGGGAAGGGAAGGGAAGGGAAGGGAAGGGAAGGGAAGGGAAGGGAAGGGGCCGGGCGGGCCGGCGCCCCCTGAGCCCCGGGCTCGGCGCTGCGCTGGCCGGAGCGGCCCCGCGGCCTCCTCGGGCAGCGCCGCCCGCAGCCCTCGGCTTTGCCTCGGGCACTCGTTAAATGGAGCTGAGTCATTAACTTAGCCCAACTTCGGGGGCTAGAGAGCGCCGTTCTTATTGCTGCGGTGGACGTGAAGGATTCGCATCGGAACGGGGCTGTGGGTGTTTGTGGTACCAGCAGAGTATTCTTGGAGTTGAATAAATTAGCGTTGTGTGCCAGGGTTAATCTGTGAGACTAAACACATGCTGTGGCTGTACAAAAAGTTTAGGGATGAAGACAGGCTGCTAAGGGGGACCCCCCGCCTTCCCCCAGCCCAGGTGTTCCAAGGGGACAAATTTAAGCTTCATGAAATTTCTGCATTTGAAAGTTGGATAGTCAGTCTGCTATTAGATTTTTATAGTGAATTTATAAGCATTTCTGAAGACAGCTGCTGAAAAATGCATATTTTGTGCAGAAAATTATGTATTTCTAAAATACTTTTGTTTGACAGATTTGATGAAAAGGAGAATGTATCAAACTGTATCCAGCTGAAGACTTCAGTTATTAAAGGAATCAAGAATCAACTGATAGACCAGTTTCCTGTTATTGAACCATGGCTAAACCAAATCATGCCAAAGAAAGATCCAGTTAAAATAGTGAGATGGTAAGTATCTCTTCGCTTAAACTTTGCTTTCAAGGTGCTAGGAGTGCTTTCTTTGTTTGTTTACTTTGTACAGTAGATAAACCTAGCACTTTTGATAGGCATCCATCATCTCTTAATAGCTAGTAGTCCATGTTATGGCCAAACCAGAAAGTTGGCATGTGCTCATTTTGCTTTAAAGGCACATGCTAGTAGGATGCTTGAGGAACTTAAAATTCTTCCTAGTAGCTAATGTGCAGTGTATTCAGGGTTGGATCAGCCTGTTGTTGAAGGGAAGTATTCAGCTTTATGGACATGGAAGCACAAAATTGTTTGGATTCCTATCAGTAACATTTTGTACTATTTTTGGGCTTCCATGTATTATCTTGATTATTTTCCCTTTTTTTAAACAGAGGGTGGTACATTTTTGCTGTGTCCTTCTCCTTATCCACTCTTTGTATTGCATTCAAAAAGCAACGCCAAGGAAATGCAGTTTGTGTATTTTGTCAGTAGGTTTCTTTTTTCTCAAAGGGGGAAGAAGTGAACAGGAGACCACTGCTGAAGAACAAGTCATATAAAAAGATAATATTTTTAGTTTTAAATTTTGTTGCTAATCGACTGTTTTTATTCTCAGGTGCTAAATAGACTGGACTTTATATTATTCTCAGGTGCTAAATAGACTGGACTTTATAAAGTAAAATCCTGTATTTAAAGTATAGAATGGTTAAGTAGCTCTCAGTTTTTTTTTTTTTAATCTTGCAGTCATGAGCATATAGAAATCCTCACTGTGAATGGGGAGTTGCTGTTCTTCAGACAAAGAGAAGGGATTTTTTACCCAACGCTAAGGTTGCTTCACAAATGTAAGTTTCCTGAGGGCGGTCATGCTGGGAAGAGAAGGGTGACAGTGTGATTCCATAGGACATCTGTAGAACCAAATTAAAAAGATCTTCCATATATTTCCTGCATATGCACATTCCAGAATAGATCTTAAAGATACAGTATACTTTCCTAACTGGAATTTATTAATCTTCTATTTCTCATGTCTATGTTAATTGCTTCCGTGCTGTATGTTAAGCAATCTGAACTTCGATAAGTAAGAATTAAATAGTGTAAAGCTCTGTAAAAAAATCTTGAGAGGCTCCCTTAGGACAGAGATATAAATTTGCTGTTGTTGGTCCCTATCTTTTTTCAAGTCTTGTTATACAAATACTTGTAAGTTCTTACCAGAAAAATACTCTGTCTTCCTGAGTTTAAAGATGTATATTAGTCTCCTGTAGGAACTTAGGCTGCATGCATTTTACTTTTCACAGTTTACTCTTGCAATTTTTTTCTTGCTGTTCTGCTTGATTGTGTTACTCTGTTTTGAATCCTAAAGAACGTTATTCAGTCAGGTCTCAGTGTTGGAAATACTTCAAGAGGGTGCCTGTGCTTGGAGAGCTGACAGCTTTCATGAATTTTGTCCATGTTTGCCTGTTTTGTTCTGTTAATGTTAAACAGTTTTTCTTTCATGTTGGAGTAATTTGTAAGAGTACATGGAGTTTGCAGGATGTAAGACCCTTTGGTTTTAAGAGCTCTTAGGATGGGCACCTGTGTGGTTGTTTTCCCTAGGAGAAAGTTGTTGCTCAGTCTGTGGGTCTGTGAGTGTGCAGGAACCATAGCCTGCAGTGCTGGATTGCCTTTGGTTCTCAGATAAGAGATGTGGTCTGGGAGGGAAGTACCCGTGTCCTTTTGGGTCAGTATTTGTGTCCTTTTGGGATGGTACCACCCAGCAGGAGCTCTGGTAATTGTATCTCAAACTTCCTACCCTTGCAGGACACTCTATATCTAATTATCCTGTTTAAACTGAGTTTATAACGAGCTGTTTATGTTGTCATGGTGCTGTATTAATTGCAATGCTGTGTCTTTCCCCTCCTAGACCCATTTATTCTCCCGCATCAGCAGGTTGATAAAGGCGCCATTAAATTCGTCCTGAGTGGAGCTAATATAATGTGCCCTGGCCTGACGTCTCCTGGAGCAAAGCTTTACCCTGCTGCTGTTGACACTGTTGTTGTATCCTTCTTAACCAGGAATTATTATTGCTCACTGTGGGATGAGTTTAATTTCTGTTCTTGTGTTCTCAGTTGATCATTATCTATATTACTTTGGATTTTAATTTGATTTCCTGAAATAACTAGTAATCAGAAAGGAGCTGCAGAGGTTTAGATATTGCTTGGCAAGGTTAAAGTTGTTCATATCTTTTCACTTGCTGTATGTTCCAAACCATGTAACTATTCCTGCTGTACTGTTGGGTGGGCTGCTGTTCCATTAATCTCATTGGTAAGTGGAGCTCCTTAGGGATTTTATGCAGAATGGTAAAAGTAGATGAGGTGCAGTGTAATTTGTCCCTTGCCTCCTTAGCCAGGCTTGTATTCCCTTCAGAAGAATTCTCTCTTGTTCCTGAGGATTTAGGAAAGATGTTTAGGGTCAGCTTTACTGGAGTCAGGACTTGCTCTGTCTGATGAAGTTAATGTATGTAAAATGAGGAAAGTGTGCTAATTCACTCATTATATTACTGAGAAAAGAACACTGAACAAATACAGCATTTATAACACCAAGCTGTGCTGCTTTTGTTGTTAGATGCTATAGGAAAAGATCAGCAGTTAACATCACGTGTTGCTAAGCTTTGAAAAGGACACATGTGATTTGGACACTTGTGGGTTTTAAATTGGTGTCTCAGTTTTCTGTGCCTTGGAATCTAAAATGGCCCTACTAACATGTGCTATTTTGTTCCAGAAAGGCAGAGACTGTCATCTCTGTGTTAGGCACAAAGGAAGAAATTTAGCACTGGGAGATTTTTTTCTGTAAATGCTGTTCCAAGTTCATAAATACATGCTTTGTTCTACACACTGATTCAATTGTTAAATTCAGTGCATTGTTTTGCTTATCTTTAAAAACTGTAACTCTAGAATTACTGAAAGGTTAAAAGTTCAACACTGGCTTTTGAATGTGTTTTTGGAAGTAATTTCTTCATATTGCTTTTACTTTTCTGAAATAGTTTAAAAAGAACTCTGTTTTCCTTAGCAGTAATTTGTAGGCAATTATGGCAGAGGGAAAACAACATGCATTATGTGTGGGAGTAATGAAGATGTCAGCTGAGGACATGTAAGTGTTTTAAAAGCTGAAATATAACCTGTCCCATGTCATTATTCTTATGTTAGTTTGGAGGATAAGCACCACTATGAAGGTTACTGCATTGCTGTTGCAGCATGTGTTGTTCAAATACAGAGTACTACCTGGGCCAGGCAAGAGATGTAATTTGGATTTCAGCCGATCAAAAACATTGAAGAGATTCTTGTCTGCAGGAACAGCAGAGACTCAAGTCCTGCTGCATCTTGCTTGCCTATCCAGGCTTTTTTTCTGTTTCTCTGTGGCCTGCTCTTTTTCTTCAGGGTGTATCCACATGCAGCCCAGCATTCCTGCTTGATGTGCTAACTTAGCTGAGCCTCTTGTGGGATTTAGAGGTCTGCTCTGGATAAACTGAAAACTGTTTGAGAAGGAAAAGAGATCCAGAAAATGGAAATGGATGTTAGTTATTCTTGGCTTTCAGAAAGAGCTAACTAGCAAAATCACTTTGTCATTTTAAGTTCTGTTAACATCTCGCAGGATGTGATGTGCACCCAGCAGGTTTGGGCTGTGTTGGTTTCCAGACCTGTCTGTCATTGGGCAGTGAGGAAGCGTTTTTGGTGAAAACAAGTCACTCTTTTTTGTGTGGTTAATTCTCAACAAGCCTGTCCTAAGTCAAAATAATAGCACGAGGCAGAGACGGGAGAATGTCTTAGAGGTCAGGGATAGAGTGGGACTGCAGAAATCTGGATTTGGACCTGCTGTAGCTGTTGAGGAATTACATTCTTCAGGATTCTTTGTGGTGCTTCAAAAGACTTCAAGAGTAAGTGGAAAGAAAAGCTACCTGTGTCTCAGTCCTAAGAAAGCAGTGACACACTGTCATCATTGCAAACCAAGGTCCTTTGGATACCTAACTCCAAATCCACCAGCCTTGCACCTGAATATCCTGTTCCTGTGAGAAGCAACATGAACTGGAGAGGAAAATGAAATGATACTCCTCTCTGCAGCCTGTTAGGTGTTTTTTTTGTGTGACATTGTTTCACAATTTTCTGGTTTAGGCAGTGAGATTTCAATCTCTTGATGTGATTACTACATATAATGTGTTAAAATTGTGTTAGCAGCATTTCCCTTCCTAATTACTTTTGGACAGGTTGGTATGTAATAGAACACTTGGAGTAACTAGAGTAAATTATATTCTTCAGGGGAATGAAACTTGTTCTCACTCCCAGAAGGAGATTTGTCTTGTTTATTGTCGCAAAATTACTTTGTTGGTGTTTTTTTTTAACAGGAAAAATAAACATATCCAGTGCAGACACAAACCAGTAATTTTTAGAAGATGACATGACTCAAAAGATAGTCAATACTATAGAGGATAGCATGTCTCTAACAAGCTGAAAGTTTTTGGCACATCAATTTAGCATCTTTAATTCTTTATTAAGTGGGTAGATGACCTGCAACTAGAAGTGAGGCAGCTCACCTGCATTTGATTGTGTCACTGGCACACTTGGAACCAGAACTTGTTAGATTCCACATTACAGTCATCTTGTACCACATCCTGTGCTGCGAGGGGAAGGCTCACAACTGCTGTGCTACTTTGATAGAGAAATGGTAAAATTAAGAAAAGTAGCAGAAGTATTGTCTGAAGAACTGTATCCCACAAAGAAGTACTAAAAATACTGTGGAAAGCTGTTGAAAAAATGTGGAATGCAAATATTGTCCTGTTACCAGTCAGCAATGTGGGCAGATGTAATAACAAATACTGTTTCTTGTCTACCTGCTGTGGAAGATCATGACTTTGCAGTTGATAGCCTTCCCCTTCCAGCTGACAAATGTTGCAGTTTCTCCTTGAAATAATACAGTTTGTAGTGCTCTCCTATTTAACCTAGCTAATACTTCTGTACATTTTTCCTCCTACAGTGAGAAGGTCAACAAAGGGATTGGTATTGAAAATATCCACTATTTAAATGATGGCCTTTGGCATATGAAGACATACAAGTGAAACAACAAGAACTGTTACTCCAAAGGAATGCACTTAGATTAAATGTGGACTGCTTTGTAATTCCTTGTTTTTAATGTGACTGAATGTACAAATTATTTTGTTCTGTGGCTATGCTAAATAAATCAGTTGAATGCAAAAGTACTGTTAGGCTACAATAGTTTTCTAGATTTCTTTTTATTACTGTTATTTTGTCTTAAACCTGAGTCTTCAGAGACTGAAGATATTTGATGAAAGATTCTGCATGGACTGTGAGTAATTACTTCAAATGGAAAGGAGGAAAAAGCCAAGAAATGTTTACATTTTTGTGCTCTTCTAAAAGAGTAATATAAAGTGTGTGTGAAATATAAATATAGTTTATAAAACCTCTGAAGCATTTCAGATTTTTTCTTCTGATTGACATCTTGTTAGTCTACCTAGTTCCTTGAATGTGGAGAAATCAGGTTTTTTGACATTTTTTAACTTATTAAGAGCATTAACTCCATTTTACTTAAGGATTTTCTCTTTTTAATATGCATTTATCTGTATAAGATTTATGAACTCAGACTGATATGTGGATTAGAAATTCTTTTATGGTGGCTCATATCTGAAGACTGACTGTATGTTCAGATTTCTACCTGCCAACACTTTGATACTGCTCTCCTAGAGGAGTTTGCAGTAATGGTGGGCACACTCCCAGTGAAGTGTGTGCCACCCTGGTGCCTGATGCTCTCTACTCCCTGTGTGCCGCCTTATTTTAGCAGCAGAAACAAAATCACTGTTAAACAAAGGCATGACAGCAAAGCATGCTTTTCAGTGTAGCCAGGAGCAACTTTTTCAGGTGGAACTTGAAGAGCTCTCAGCTTGTGCACACTGCCACTGTCTCTGTACAGCTACAGAATGGGTTCAGGAGCACTGTGTGTCTGTCTGGATAACCCAGTCCTTTGTTCAGCACACCCAAAGCTATGCCTATGGAAAAATGGAATACTGTAATAAATTAAGGAAACTTTTAAGGTCTACCACTCATAACTGTCTCTGGAAGCATTTATTAATATTTCAAGTCTTTATTCTAACACATACATTTTATAACAGCAGAATGTAACTTGCTGTGCCAGTGCCTCTGGTGCTGTTCTGCAGGCTTGGATTCCCCACCCTGGGACCTTTACAGATGATAATAGCCAAGGTGTTCTCCATCTGATTCTAAAGCCAAGTTAAGACATGGCAGAAGAAACGCTGATTTTAAAATTCTGTAAAATTTATTTACAAGACTGTACTTCTGAAAATGACAGGGTAAATCTGAAACTATCAATGTAGGAAGACAAAATTTAAGCAGTGAAATTTGCAGAAAGAGTTCTGATTGCACCTCAGAACTTCAGAGTGCTGGTGAACATTTCTGTGCATCTTAAAGATTCCATTGTAAATTACTGATTTCTGGTTAGTATTATGGGAAATCAGTTTACGCTTCAGTGTTGGTAGTTTTTTTTTTTTTTTTGTGTGTGTGTAAAATGAGCTAATCTTGCCTTTTGTGATTTGCTTTTAACCCTTCATTTTATCTCTCCCTGTTGTCCTGCAGTACTTCAAATCTGTGACAAATGAGATTTTTTTTTTTTCTTGTTGGAATTGTTCACTCTCATTCTCCTATGACTGCTGTTGCTGCAGGGGGGTCAAACTGTTTTTAATAATCAGAAACACTGAAAAGAGTTTTGCTTGCTTTATCTGGTTTTGTCAAAGTTTTTGCAGCTGTGTTATTCTGTAAGAAGAGTCAAATCAGGCTTAATTTATATACCAGTTTAGCAAAACACCAAAGGTACCAGTTTTACCTAGGTTTTGGCAGCAATTGAGTATGTTTGTGTTGCTGTCAGCTGAGCTCTGACTGACAGGGAGGATGAGCAGGTGCATCTTGTCTCACCTTTCAAAAAGCAGCTGAGCTGTGGGAGCTTGATGATGGTCTGAGCAGTTTTCTCATACCTTGTCAAAAACATGATGCTTAAAACAAAAAGCCCAAGATGTGGACAGTCTTATCAGTTCTAAAGCAGCTGTTCCACTTCCCCACCTGCCCACTTGCAGCTCAGGGTAGGGTGTTACAGCTGGTTGGTTAAAGGTGAGGTAACAGAGTCTGATCCTACGTTCGTAGTACCAACAAAGCCTGTGACATCACAGGTGTTAAGATGGATGTTGTACCATCTTGAAGATGGTACTACTGTCATCTGTAGTAGTCTTGAAACACCCATGTCAGGTCACTGAATTCTAAATGGAGTAAGTACTGAAGTGCTGTTTGTCTATACAGGCTGTGGGTGGATAGGAGTGTGACCCAGGAACTTGTGTAAAACTGAGTGCACTCCATTGTAAAAAAAACACAACCCCAAACCAAACACCAAATTGTACTGACAATTAATCAACTTCTTCCTTGTAAACACTTACTAGCGTCCACTAACAGGAGTAAAAATAATACTGAGTGCTTATAGATGGAGTGAAATTTTAAATGAGCAATTAATCTTGTGCTAACAGACGCCCTGACCATGTTAAAACCTATTCAAACAGTTTAACTTTTGTCTGCTTAGAAACAGTAGTCCAAAGGGCACTTGGTACTACTCTGCTCCAAGATTTCTTGTCACCTTGCTTCCTGCTGTTAGAAGGCTGTATATGAGGTGGCAGGTGAAGTACAAGTTCAAGCTATTGTGTAGTTCCGTGTACAAGAAATAGCTTAAAGTTACAGTCTTTGAGACTGAATCTGTAGTCAGTTTTATTGGTACACATTAGAAAGATATAAAGACATTATAGAAATGCCTGGAAGAACTGAAATAATCAAAGTCTTGCAAAAATATATTTGTAAGAGTAGACCAAAGTTCATTTGAGTTTTCATTAATAAATATTTACATGTACAAACCCCCCCTATAAATTTAATTTCCTTTTATAATAAACATGAACATCTTTTTATCATTTCATTCCAGCACTGTCAAAAGCCAGAAGCATTTCTCTATAAAAGATTTAGAAAAAAATTCTCCTTCCACTTTTAAAATTAAGAGCTTTACCAAACCTCAGTGTGCAAAAGAACCTGTACACCAGTACCAGAATGTGTCAGTACAACTGTTTGAGAAGAGCCGACTCCAGAGTTCCAGGCCTTCCCTGAGGACACCTCAGTCATTGTCCGAGCCCGGTGGGGGCAGGAAGACCAGGGCGTCACTGTACGAGTGGCCATAGGGCCTGAGCCTGTACACCCCGTACATCATCACGTGCATGTGGTTGGGGGCCAGCCCGCTGAAGGTGATGGCCATGTCCGAGCAGCAGCCGTCCACCACCTGCTGCGGGTGAGTGGACATGGCCTCCTTGATGAGGGCCCCCACGGATTTCGTGTTAAAGACGTCTTTCCCTTCTGAATCCTCGGCGTTTTCAGCAAACACGCCGGTGTACTTCAGGCAGATTGCCAGCTGTTTGTCCTCTGCGAGTTTCCAAATCATACCTCCCTGCTCTGGACACTTGTCAGGGTCTTCAAGAACACGGGAGAGTCGTCTTAGCGACTCAATGCTTAAGACGATTCCTCCCTCACCATCTACATACTCGAGGTCACCAGATTTCACAGTGTGGCCTATGTAAAAAGGCTGCGAGGGGTCTTTTTTCAGTAAGAAATACTTGAGATTTTCAATTATAGCAAATGTTGTGGGATATGCAAGGAAGAACCAGCTGAATTCATCCTTATAGCGTTCATACGTTATCTTGTAAGCTTTCCGCATCATTGCCCACATATCGTTTGTGTTGACGGCTACAGAATCGAACACTTTGACCTTTTCTGAGCTGTAGAATTCCGCCTTGTCGCAGTGCTTGCTCCAGGTCTCCCTTGCTGCAGCCCAGTGCCCCAAATCTTTTGGTTTGACAAGGATGATGCAGTAAACATGGATGTTTTTACTAAGCTCCACACGTTCACCTTCTGAAAGGTTTAAGACATCTTCCTTGTTGGGAGCCTGGATGTGATGATGTTCGTGGTGATGTGCTTTGGTCCCGTGGCCCACCTTAATGTGTCCGAGAAGCGTAACCAACATGCAGAAAGCTCCTCCGAGCACCACACCCTTGATGAAGGAGCTGCTTTCAGAAATCATTTTTCCTAGAAAAGAGACGCACTGTAAGAGCTTACAGGAATAAGTGCACTAGTGCAGGTTCCATACGGTTCTAACGCAGTCCTCAATTTCTAAACCCAGCTGCAGTTCCTATCTCCCGCACCAGGACAAGGCTGGTGAAAGCGGTGGCGATATCCAGGTTCCCGATCGCGGCTCTCGGTAAACGGCAGGACACGAGCCCTGTGCCCCGGCCCCTCTGCGCTGCCGTGACCGCACGGCCCCGGCCCCGCCGCTTCCTCGCCCGCAGCACCGAGAGGCCGCGGGACGGCGTTTCGCGGGGAGCCTTCCCCGGGAGGAAACCCGCTCCCCGCTGCCCCACTCCACGGCGCTCGGTGCCGGAGCTGCCTCAGCCTCCCGAGCTCCCCGACTCGCGGCTCCGCGGTACCGCCGCTCCCGCCGCAGCTCCCCGACCCGCAGCCCCGGCCGTGCCGCAGCTCCCGAGCTCCCCGACCCGCAGCTCGGGCGGTACCGCCGCAGCTCCCCGACCCGCAGCCCCGGCGGTACCGCCGCTCCCGCCGCAGCTCCCCGACCCGCAGCCCCGGCCGTGCCGCAGCTCCCCGACCCGCAGCCGCGGCCGTGCCGCAGCTCCCCGACCCGCAGCCGCGGCGGCCCCGCCGCTCACCGGAGCCGCGCGCGCCGCCCCTTCCTGCGCCGCCGGAAGCGCCGCGCGGCCGCCCCGGGCCCCGCGCGCTCGGCGGGGCGGCGGCGCCGCCTGGCGGTGCGCGCGCGGCCCTGCCTCCCTCACGGCTCTCCCGCCCCGCGCTCCCCTCATGGCGAGCGGAGCGCCGCTGTGCCAGCGCAGCTTTAGAGAATCTTCCTCCTCCGAGCGCCCACGAAACCCCCGGCAGTCGCGCTCCCAGCCGCTGCTGGGCAGAAGCCGTTTCACAGAAGCCGTTCCACGGCGGCCCCAGTGACACGAGGGGCCCCCGGCTTGGCTCCCCACACATTCCTCTCGCACAGTCAGACCAGGTTTCCTCACCGGTTCGACCCCAGGTTTTCCATAGCTGAGTCCCAGATGTCTCGTCCCATAAAGGGATTTATTCCCGGCAC